TGTAATGTAATGCAATGCAATGCAATGCAATGCAATGCAATGTAATGTAGTGGAATGTGATGTAATGTAATGTATTGTAATGTAATGCAATGTATGTATGTATGAATGTAATGCACGTATGTATGTATGTATGTATATACATCATATATACATGTATGCACGAAGGACAGTTCAAGTAACCTCAAAGACCAGGTGTGTAATTTTGCCAGTGAAGAAGGGTATTTTATAGTTGAAGCCCTTGTCTTGGGTTGACGAATGCACCTTTCCAGCTGATTGCTGTTGTTTTGGTTTCCCTTTAAAACCATCCAAAACGGATCCCGATTCTGAGACATCATATATATGTATATATATATATGTATATATCAGAGAGAGATTTGTCCACACTTTTCTGTGCATGTTCCTGCACTCTAAAATCGAATACAATATCATTGATAAGTACTTGCTTGTTTACACACCTATCTGATCTGCTCATTGATTGTTTCTTTGCATTTGGGATCACACAAGCCCACCGTTCCATCGCCAGCCACACCCCCCCCCCCCCCCCGAGGATTGCGTGCTTGGAGAATGGACCAACTGGAGTCCTTGTGACAAGGCGGGCTTTGCAAAAGGCCGTTGTGGCCTTTGGGGCGGCTTCTGGGCTTATGCCAAATAATTGAATCAGGGAGGGATATTTTTTGCACATGGTTGCAAGCCTTTGCCGGCCTGGGTGGAATTGGCATTTGCTCCTAATCTGAAATCCTGGATGCTCTTTGGCTGTTGGCTTGTGTTTTGGCAAGCTGGTCCTTTCAAGGCAAGTAAGTGTTCGCAACTTTACTCGCCCCCGAATTCCTGGACAGAAAACTTGTTTGAAAGAGCAGACTTCCTCTGGCAATCCACTCAGGAAGTCTAGCGGGGCTTGGCCCCAGGTAGCTTATTACATTGGTCAAAGTATGGCAACACATCAAGGTTATCCCTCTGAGATGACAATTGTCCGTGTCTTGTGCTGCTGAGACGGACCTCACTTGACACCAGGTTGACAGATCTGTCGACGGAATGCCACGCCCTCCCTCGCCAATGGGCCAACGTCCAAGGCCTTCAGGCAGATCCCTTCAGGATTACGAAGGGGCTGTGGGCACAAGATAGGTTTTTGACTTGGGCCCTTTAAAAGATCTCAACCGAAACCAAGTTACATCATGTTTGGTAGCTGCTTGCTTTGTCCAGACCTCAAATGATACTGCGCGAGCCATTGGGCTCCTTGTGTGGTGCTCGAAGTGGGTGGTTTTGGGTGGTCCTTGGATTGTGTGGTGCGTGGTGCTCCTTGGATTGTGCTCGAAGTAGTAGTAATATGTTCTTGTGTGGTGCTCCTTGTGTGATGCTCCTTGTGTGGTTTAGTACAAACCGCCACACACACATACGCACACAAGCAAGTTAGTCCGCTTAGTCCACACATGCCAGTTGGCGTGCCGCAAGCGGCGGGCTTTCGGCTAAGCAGCACCAGTTGTACAAGGGGTTCTTATGTGACACTCCCTTACTATTGGGGCTTCTCAACACATGATCTGTTTTACTCGTGGTTAGATTGTTTTGCTCAAATTCCAGTTGAGAAACGATCGACTTGCATATTCAACAAACAGAGCGGGACGCTGTGAGCAGCGTTATTTGTTTCCACGTTTCAAGTGGAATTTCGATCTGACCTATACACGATTGAACAAGCTGTGTTTACACGTCAACTGAATTGCAAACAAACTCGGAGAGAACATCCTGTGTAAATTCTAACTTAAATTGGCATAAACTCGAGTCTGAATTCTAATATGTCCTTATTAAGTTCTGCTTAAACTCAAATTGAAATGTAAAGTTCTATATTGGAAAGACACTCCATCTAAATAATATGTTCATTTCATAGTTTCCACTAGGATTCTGGTCAAGTTTGTCTTTATCGAGTCCCATTCAATCCCTATTCAAACTCAAATTGGATCTTGGAGAGCCGCCTTTGGGGGAGATGCGAATTGAGTACTAAAACCGCTACAAACGGGTGTTTTTTTATCGTTGTTTTCTGACTATGGTACACTTTTTTGATCTTTGTTTGTTTTTCTTGATGAATCCTTTTTGATATTTGTTATTAGATTCTACTCAATTTCAACCTGAAATGAAATAGAATGAAGTAAGGAAAGACTGCAATACCAGTTTCTACTTTAGATTAGAACAATAATCATGCTTATCCTATTTAAAAATAATATTTACACAGGGTGTCCTTTCCAATAGAACTGTCTTTACAAATCAGTACACATTTCAAAGGCAGTTTATTCAACCATTTTGAGCCTCTGAATTCGTTTATCAAGTTCTAATCTGATTCTAACTAAAGATAAACACAATGGAATAAATAAAACAAATAACTACGATCGCAATTGTTGTGATTTTAAGTTGGACTTTAGAGAGTGATTATTCAATATTAAATGTGTCATTGGATTTCCTTTCCAATATGATTGTCTTTACAAAACAGTAACCATTTAGACACAGTCTATTCAACAAATCTTGAGACCCCTGAGTTCTTTCCTTATGGATTCTGCTTAATAGATTTATCAAGTTCTACTTGATTTCGAACTCAAACTAAGAAGAATTGGCTAAGGAAAGAATCCAATCAGAGGAAACCATCTCTAGCTAGCTTACTGTACTAAGGCTTGGACGTGAACTACGGAAGTCCACTTGAACATATTTGCTCTCGCAAACAGACCGGACACAGGAAAATGCAAAACAGGCAAGCACCCCGGAAGAAAGGCATGCCACCCAAGTCAGGACAGCTGACATAGTCTTGTTTGTGTCTTTGTTGGTTTTCTCGAGGTTTCTCATACTTGTCCAAGCAAACGCAAAAACACTTGAGAAAACAAAAATAACAAAAACAACAGACAAATCACATAGGTTATGTCCCTCAAGGCAGGACAGCTGACATAGTCTTGTTGTTTTCCTTTTTATTCTTCTCGAAGTTTTCCACACTTTTCCCATTCAATGCAAACTCGAAAAAAACCAAGGCAACAAGACTATGCCTTCCCCCAAGTTAGGACAGCTGACACGTCTTGTATTTTGTTTGTTTAGTTGTTTGGACTTCTCGAGTTTGTTTGGTTTCTCTGACAGCACCACAGCACAACATGTACAAAAAGGTGAGCTTTCAGGGCGTCCTGTTTTGGCTGAGGGTACCCGTTTCACCGAATGCCGAAGCCCTTGGGCTTCTGCAATCCCTTTTTGGGTGTGTCTCAAAAGGGACCAATTCCTCCAAGTGCTTGGTTTCCTTTTGATTTCCCAAATCCAACAGGCTTGGATTCCCTGCTGTGCATAGACGAAATGGTGCACCACTTTGAAACCATGGCTGGAATCCATGGTTTGTTGGGAGATACAGGACAATTCATCAGAAGCAAGAATGTTTCTGAACTGTGGTGCGTTTTTTCTGGATGTTGGCAACCATCCCCCTGTAAATACCAACCAACCATGGTTTCAAGCATGGCTTCATTTGGGTATGGGTCAAAATTAAAACACCCGGGGACCGCAGGTTTCTAGTCTACTTCTCCACTTACCAGGGTTCCATTGTGGGCACCTATTTTGGACCCACACCCATTTGGCCATCCCCATTTGGGACATGAAAATTCACCGCCCAGCTGCCCGGAGGCCTGCGGCCGCGGGGAGAAGACGAGGTCCCGCGAGCTGGTCACTGAGCCCCGCGCCGGCGGAAAGGCTCGGAGATGGGTTCGGGGCGTGGCTCGGAGATGGCGCTTGGCGGACGGACGTCAATACCTGCATACATACATGCATGCATGCATACATGCATACATACATACTCGCATGCATGCATGCATACATGCATACATGCATACATGCATACATACATACTTGCATGCATGCATGCATACAAGCATACCTGCATACATGCATACATACATACTTGCATGCATGCATGCATACATGCATACATGCATACATGCATACATGCATACATGCATACATGCGTACATGCGTACATGCATACATGCATACATGCGTACATGCATACATGCATACATGCATACCTGCATACCTGCATACCTGCATACATGCATACATGCATACCTGCATACATGCATACATGCATACATGCATACATGCATACATGCGTACATGCCTACCTGCATACATGCATACATGCATACATGCATACATGCATACCTGCATACATGCGTACATGCATACATGCATACCTGCATACATGCATACCTGCATATATGCATACATGCATACATGCATACATGCGTACATGCATGCATGCATACCTGCATACATGCGTACATGCATACATGCATACATGCGTACATGCATACATGCATACATGCATACATGCATACATGCATACCTGCAGACATGTGTACATGCATACATGCATACCTGCATACATGCATACATGCATACATGCATACCTGCATACATGCGTACATGCATACATGCATACATGCATACATGCATACATGCATACATGCACACCTGCATACATGCGTACATGCATACATGCATACATGCATACCTGCATACATGCGTACATGCGTACATGCATACATGCGTACATGCATACATGCATACATGCGTACATGCATACATGCATACATGCATACATGCATACATGCATACATGCATGCATGCATACATGCATACCTGCGTACATGCATACATGCGTACATGCATACCTGCATGCAGCATACATGCATACATGTGTACATGCATACATGCATACCTGCATCCATGCATACATGCATACATGCATACCTGCATACATGCGTACATGCATACATGCATACATGCGTACATGCATACCTGCATACATGCATACATACATGCATACATGCATACCTGCATACATGCGTACATGCATACATGCATGCATGCGTACATGCATACATGCGTACATGCGTACATGCGTACATGCATACATGCATACATGCATACAACAGACCGAGACGCAGACATACGACGTACGTACGTGTGTGCATACATACGTCTTGCATGCATACCTACAACGTGCGTACGTATATGCATGTTCCAGGTCCGCGAGCCGAATCCCCCCCCCCCCCCGCTTGCAACCTTCCTCACAGGCCTTAGGGTTTCAGTGGGTATGCCAAAGCTCGGATGGCAGAGCTTTGGGGGGTGCAGCAGGCGGAGTGGAGCCCAATTAGGATCTACCCCGTCCTGTTGCCAGAGGGAATGCAATTCCCCACAGGCATGAATGCCGCCACGCAATCAAGAGGGCCGAGCACACCACCCTCAATACGCTTTTTGGGGACAGACTGAACCGGGAGTCCTAGGTTCGGCGTCTCCAACAATTCTGTGCTAACCATGGCCTTTGGTGTGACCGAATCGCTCCGTAGACCTTTGGGACACAAATTTGGCTTTTCCATTAAACCTAGAAAAGGCCCTACCCTACCTCCAAAAATCATGGGCGCTGACGGGAGTGTTTTGAAAGACGACTTTCCGTCGTTGGGGAAGCCTCCGATCGTCCACTTGCATGATTCTTGGACAGAGGGTAGACTTTTTGCTCAGCGAAGACTTGCTGGTGCTCTGCCCTTCCGGGTGTTGAGAATGAGCGAAGGGCTTCCCCTGAAAGAAGCCACCAGTTGGATTGTTTATAGGTTCCATGTCTCATTCCCTACCGCACCGATCGCAAGCCCCCCGAGCCTTCGATCGTCGATCGTCTTCGATCGAGGAATGCGAGGGAGGCCTTAAGGAGCTCGCCACCTGCCTGGCAAAGCGCGCAGCTGAGTCCAGATTGGGTCCTAAAGCTCCGAACGATGCCCTCAAAAATCGGTGTCGAGGGTCCGAGAAAAGAAAAAGATGGCTCTGCAAAACGCGCAAAACGGTGTCGAGGATGTCCGGGGGTTTGAGAAGAAAAAACACTTTTGCTATCTGAGGGGTCTCCTCAGATAATAGTTTTCATATTTTGGATAAGGCTATGTAACTATGAAGCAGAGTTATCATGTTCTGTGTATGTGTACCCTGTTTTCTGTTATCTGGAAGCCGGACATGGGCTCCCAATATTACGGGTGGTTTAGGGTTTAGTGGTGGGTTTGGGGAAAAGGTGTCCTTTTGTACGTCAGTTTGATTGAACAAATAAAAACATGGATCTGCCTATTTATGGCAAGCTCAGCGATCCGTGGCGTTCCTTTTGTTTTCCACTTCAAGCACCCCAAGTGCCCCGCAAAAGCACAGGCACCAACCTCAATGGGTTTCGGGCGCTCTCCGACGAGTTTCAGACCCCCGATGGCTTCCACTGCTCCAAGGCGCTGCGAAGATGAGTGTGTGCCCACGGACTGCGTTTGGGGCGAGTGGTCGCAGCCGGGGCCCCAACGGGCCGAAGGTGGGACTTGCTGACTGACTAGGTCCCCCAGCTAGGTGCCCTTTGACCGTTTCTTTTTTTTGTTGGGAGGGTTCCCCTACTAAAATAGACTACAGAAAAAGGGGTACCCTTGTTCTATCCCCTCTACTGGAGGACCTAGCTGAGTACTTTGTTGGGAAGACCGGTTTAGGGTCAAACAGCAAGTGTCGACGTGTTTGGCCAGTCCCCACTTAGAGAGAGTGAGATGGTATGAGCCCCCCGTTTATTGCAAATGAACAGCCAATTCTAACGGAATTATGGGAGACAGAGTCCCACCACCCATGTTTGGGGTGCAAACCCCTATTCTGACACACGTGGATCTAAGGGTTGATTGATTTCGGTTCCATTCTTTGCAACCTCCGCGGTGACTCACTTCGGCTGACCTATAAGCGCTTCGCCAGGTGGAGCTATTGTTCCACCTGCTCGGAGGATCGAGTGTCGGGGGCCCCGAGACGAAGCTGAGGTCATGGGGGGAGGGAGGGAGGGAGGAAGCCCCGAGGGTGTCGGGGCTGGGAGGTGTGACGGTTGTGGACGAAAATGGGAAAATGGATTGCTGTGGGTCGCTCGCGCATGAAGGCTTCTCTGACATGACTCATGACACAATAGATTTACATTCTCCTTTGCCGCGGCAATCCCAAGCTTGAATCAAGCAGTTTGTTCCTGGCGTTTGAATATCCGGAAGTCGTCAACGATGCTTCCGCCGAATGTCAGCTACTCGAAAGCCTCTTTCAATCCGGGGAGTTACCCTGCCTTTGGCAACTGTTCAACTACAAGCATGCATTGCAAGGTGGCATGCACTCCCATAGGACGACGGGAGATGGTCTGTGAAGACCATTCCAATGTTGGCAAATAACAGGTCCGATTTTTCTTGGCCAATCCACGCAATCGGATGTGCGGAGTGCCACCCCTCCCCCTACGGCCCTCGTCAATCAGCGGCCCTAGGCGCGCGCGTGTCATCGCGGTGCACCCGGCCTGTGGCGGCAGCGTGTGCCAACCTCACGCCACCGAGGAGATGAGATCGCTCGAAGCACCATGGGATCAGACCAAAGGTCTGGAGAAAAATCGTGGAACGGGCTTCCCTCAGATCGCAGAGTGGGAGGGAGCTCCTTTTCTCTTGGTCCATAGCAGGTGGTGTTGCAAAGGGTTGCTGATACCACCTGCTGTGGGCACCCACCGCGAGGTCCATGCAATCTGCCTTGAAAATAGGGCGACACGAGAATTTTGTTAAACAAGTTGCTCAATTGTGATAGGGTAGGATTGCTTCCCCAAAAAACTTGGTTGTGGAAATCACAGGCGCAAAAATGGAAAGACAGTTGCCTGAATAATTGAGACATCATCATTGATGCATTGCTTCTTTGGTCCTTTGATGATCAAGCCCTGTTCGGGCCGGGTCGCTCCGAGCCTTCAAATGTGACCAACCCAATGGGTAGAAGATCGCTCCGATTATCCTTTTTCAGTGATAAGTTGTCCACCCTGCCAATCGGGTCGAACGGGAGCAACTCGTGCGAGGGAACGAAGCTTGCCTCTCCCAATTTGGGCTATAATTTTCAATTTGCTCAAAGGAATCTGACTCCCTGAGTTTTGGACTTTCTACTGTTTGGGAAGACCGTTTTAGGGGCAAACAAAAGATTCAGACCTGTTTTGGCCAATTCACTCGGGAACTCAGGAATGGGTATACAATTGTTTGATTTCCCTATCACCCAGTGGAAGAAGTGTAAAATTGGGTACAGTCCCAAAGATATTAGGTTCGTCCAGAACCAACCTGTTGATTCTTTGCCATGGGTTTCGGGTACGTTTTTGTTGCCCTACGCCTTGTGCCGATGAGTCAAGGCTCCAGTGAACTTAACACAGGTGTTAAGAGGCGTCACATCTTACACCCCATCTCACCACTCCCCCAGGGAGTGTTGGGCCTGAACACTAAAACAGATCTGACACCTAGACATTCGGCCCCGAACAATGAGACCCTCAAGTTTGTTGCCCTTCTGCTTTGGTCATTTGTAGTTTCGGAGCGTCCCTCACCTTTGGTCCCTTCTCCTTTCTTTCTCATCAAATAAAACCTGCCCACCCCACCCCACCCCACCCCACACCACACCACACCACACCACACCACACCACACCCCACGCTCCACCCCACCCCGCCCCACCGCACACCACCCCACAACACACCACACCCACGCCCCACACCCCACACCCCACACCCCACACCCCACCCCACACCCCACACCCCACCCCACACCCCACAGCCCACGCCCCACGCCCCACACCCCTCACCCCTCACCCCACGCCCCTCACCCCACACCACCCCTCACCCCACACCCACACCACCCACACTCCACACCCCACACCCACACACCCCACACCCCACACCCCACACCCCATACCCCACACCCCACGCCCCCACGCCCCACGCGCCCCACGCCCCACGCCCCACACCCCTCACCCCTCACCCCACACCCCACACCCCACACCCCAGCCCACAGCCCACACCCCTCACCCCTCACCCCTCACCCCTCACCCCTCACCCCTCACCCCTCACCCCTCACCCCTCACCCCTCACCCCTCACCCCTCACCCCTCACCCCTCACCCCCACACACACCCCACACCCCACGCCCACCCCACACCCCACACCCCACACCTCACGCCCCACAGCCCAAACCCCACACCCCACATCCCTCACCCCTCACCCCACACACAACACCCCACACCCCACACCCACACCCCCACACACCCCACACCCCACACCCCACACCCCACACCCCACACCCCACACCCCACACCCCACACCCCACACCCCACACCCCACACCCCACACCCCACACCCCACACCCCCACACCCCCACACCCCCACACCCCACACCACACCACACACTCCACCCCACCCCGCCCCTCCGCACACCCACAACACACCACACACTCCACCCCACCCCGCCCCACCGCACACCACCCCACACCCCGCACCCCACAGCCCACGCCCCACACCCCACACCCCTCACCCCTCACCCCACGCCCCACCCACGCCCCACACCCCACCCCTCACCCCACACCCCACACCCCACAGCCCACGCCCCACGCCCCTCACCCCACACCCCACACCCCACGCCCCACACCCCACGCCCCACGCCCCTCACCCCTCACCCCTCACCCCACACCCCACACCCCACACCCCACACCCCACGCCCCACGCCCCACACCCCTCACCCCTCACCCCACACCCCACACCCCACACCCCACGCCCCACGCCGCTCATCACCCCACACCCCACACCCCACACCCCACCCCACCCCACCCCACACACCCCACCACACCCCACACCCCACGCCCCACGCCCCACACCCCACACCCCTCACCCCTCACCCCACACCCCACACCCCGCAGCCCACAGCCCACAGCCCACCCCTCACCCCACACCCCACACCACAGATTCCTCACCCCACACCCCACACCCCTCACCTCTCACCCCTCACCCCTCACCTCCCACACCCCACACCCCTCACCTCCCACACCCCACACCCCTCACCCCTCACCCCTCACCTCCCACCCCACACCCCACCCCACCTTGTGCCGCTGGATCTTACAGACGCCAAGACGGTTCGCGAACCTTTGGCGATCTCAGGAGGTTGGGGACTGCGCGGCAACCTGCCGCAACGAGCGCATCTGCGAGTGGCAGGACTCAAAGCCTGTGAGTCGATTCGTCGATGTCGAAAGCGGCAGCGGTAGAGTTACCTGAAAGCAGACTCATCAATTTATCACAGCCCTACAAAGACAGAATTTCCGGATGGCACATGTTTTTTGGTAGATTTCATGGTAGATGGCACAAATGTTCAAAAACAGTTGTGAGACCTTGTGCAAAAGAACATCAGGCGTCGTCAACAACAATTGCTATCTATTTTGCAACAAAAGCCAGCCCGGATTTGAGCTGGGACTAAAACATGTGCCATCATGCGTTGATAGCTTGTAATGAGCAAACTCGGGTATTGGCAATTCCGCTGAACATTATGTATGTTTTTGTTTGCAAGCCATTTTGCCAAACCCTTTGTTTGGTGAATGTTGTTTGGGCAGCGTCCACTAATTTAACGGGGGATCTCTCCAGGGGGGTATTTCAGCTGGGTGCAAGTAGATGGCACAATCCCAACCCCTCTCCTTCTTAAATTGACAAAGTTGTCATAGCGATTGCCCACTTTGAGACTATGATAGTCAGGAATGTAATGTCCAGTAGGATTGTGATCAAGTATTTCCTTATTGAGTCCCAATCAAGTCCTATTCAAATGCAATCTCAATTTTAGAGAGTGGCCGTTGGTGGCGATGCGAATTGAGTACGAAAAACGCTACACAACACTGTGTTCTATGTTGTTTTCTGACCATGGTAGTGCTGAGGCTAGCAAAAACAAAGCACGATTTCGGGACCTCTGAATTCTGTCCTGATGAAAGCTACTTAATATCTTTATGTCACTGTACTCAATTTCTGACCGAAAATAAATATGTCCCCAAGTCAGGACAGCTGACAGAGTCTTGCGTCTTTTTGTCGTTTGTTGGTTTTCTTTCACACTTTTCCTATGAAATGCAACACATCTCGAGAAAGCCAAGCAAAACAATACTATGCCCCCATGTCTGGTTTGTGGACCTAGTCTTGTTGTTTTTTGCGTGTCTGGGTGTGTTGTGTTTTGTTTTTGTTGTTTGGGATTTTGTGCCTTTTTATGCAACAGAATGAAAACACCTTGAGAAAACCACAGCAAACAAACAAAACAACACCATGCCCCCAGGTCTGGTCTGTGGATATAGTCTTCTGTTGTTTTGGTGTGTTTTTGTTGGTCGTGTGAGAAACCTTGTGTTTTCTGGTTTCAACCACAAACATGCGCACGCTCAGGGTGACCTGTTCTGTTTAAGATAGGGGTCTTTTGGCGCATGGGTTCGCAATATGGGCCCGTCTTCTCTTTTTTGACGAGAAAACAACAGGAAGCAACCCGTTTTTGGGGCTCCATTTGGAGAAACCTTTCTCACACACTTTCCTGTTCAAAAAATGCAGCCCCAGGGACCTCTCTTGCGCGCTTAGAGCTCGCTCGCTCGCCCGCGAGGAGTGGGAGGGCTATGGCCCCTGCTCCGTCTCCTGTGGGAAGGGGGTCATGAAGCGCAGGCGGCATCTCGCCCACCGAGGCGAATCCGATTCCGATGCGCGAGTCCGATTCGACGGCACGTGGCCCACGGAATTTGGCGGAGCCATAGTTCCCTAGATGTTGGACTTGAGGCGTCTACGACATATCCCACTCACAGCATGTTTTTTTGCCGGAAGTCAAGCCCGAGACACAAGGAACATGGTCTGGTTCAAGTTTGCTCCGAGCTGTTGATGAGGTAGACAGATTCCTTTCGTATTTCTTTACAGGGGCAAAACGTGTGCCTTGGTGCAACTTGGTTTTTTGGAGTATCCGACGTCTGCATGTTGTTAATGTTGTTATTTGCTTGTCGCTTTTCTCACTTCTTGAATTTCCGAACTTTATACATGTCTGGGACATGAGCATGTGAGTGGGAGACATGTTGAGACTTGTTCGGGCCAATCCACTCAGTGCGATGTATGTGTCACTCGGTCTTCGATGAGTTTCTCCCATCAGACTCACTCAGCGATTCTGTCTGACGGTGTGTCCTAATGTGCTTCCGTTCAATGGTTCGATGCTATTTTACGGCGAGCGATTCCGCCGATTCGGGGGCAACAAGAGCTCAAGATGTGGGTCCTTTACGTGCTCAATGTTTTCTTTGTGTGTTTTGGCCTTCTTTCTTGCAGAGTATATGTCGTGTCGCTTTGGTTGAAGTCAGAATTCCACGTGTCGACTTTTTGTGTTCAATCCCGGGCTCCTCGGGGCCCTTCTTGAAGCCCATATTTGACGATCCGTTTAGGCAAGAGATCCAGCGATATATCACATCTCGGAGAACGCGTTCTTTTGCAACACTGAGGGTCTGGTTTGGTCGGAGGTGAACCTGGGGTTAATTTTTATATGGCCATGACTGTTTTGCTATGGAAGCCTTTCAAAAGCTGGCCAAACCGCTGGAAACTCGGTCGGTTTTCCTTTCGTTTGCTTCACCGGGGAACAAAATGTCTGCCGACCGCGTCGATTGGAAGCAACCCTGTTGTATCCCTGCTGTATTTCCCAGTCTTGAGAAAGGGAGGTCACATTGTCATCAAACTTGTGAAAGGGGACCGTGATACCACCATGTTCCAAAGGGAGGTTTGACCGTGTCGAAGGAGGTGAAAAGCATTAAACCCTCAATGCAAGCAGCAACCATGCACTGGGCGCCAGTGCGTTGCTTTTCTGGAAATTCTCCTTGGGCGGGGTGATGTTAGAGGACTGAGCAGCAAACACATAAACCAAGAGAAAGATGATCGCTTGAGCGGGGTCGTTAGTCTGGAAACACACGCACATATCAGCATTGAACTCCCACTGCCTTGTTTGGGGAAAGAGGAATATGGCTGTGGGTCAAAACCAATGGTACCATTTTGGGGTAGGTGCACCACCCATTTTAGTCTATTTTAGTGGGGATTGGGATGTTCACTGGGGGTACAAGATTTTGACCCATGGCCATATGGCAACTCCTCAGAGAACCCAAATCCGCTGGCCAAGAGAAGCCGGTTGCTAGGTTGATTCCAGCGCATATAGCGCGATGTCACTGCGATCCTGCCCCACAAGCCACGATCTAGCTAAATATATCTTGGCGCGAGGGCACGATCCGGGTCCGATCCAACTGCAATCAAGAGTGCTCTAAGAATGCCATGGTTTCGGCACCCGAGTGGACATTTTGCACGGCCCTGTCTCCGGCATTCTCCTTTGTTGGCACATGATTGACCGCCATCCCATGCAAATGGTGGGGGTTAGGCGTGAAAAAAGTAAGCGGGCTCGCCCCCGCACCCCGCTCAGATGCAAAGTTTCTGACATCCTCGCTGCAACCCGCTTAAAGGCTAAGTGCGAGAAAGGTTAGGCGGCACATGCCCCGGAGCTCGCTTAGCCACATTTCAGCTTCCAGGCACCGGCACTCTTAAGAAGTAGCCGTAGTTCCCGCTTCCGCGTTTTTTTTTTGTTGAGCTACAGACACTTGCCAACATTGCAAAACAAAAAGAAGCGCGTCACAACGGCCACAATGGGCCCCAGTGCTAAGTTTCCGGCATGGCCCCAAACTCATTGAGCAAGACATTGGCAAGTAGGAAAACATATGAGAAAGGAGCTAAGTGAAGCCAAGGCCAAGCCTAAGCATTCCAGCGTGCCACGTTGCAAAGCGGGTGGGCTGAAACATAGGCCAAACCTTCGGTTCATATCCGCCTCCAACAGAAACTAAAGGAGAATCGTGGTGGTCCGGCAACTGGCGTCTACTGTCAGGATTCCACCCCCGAACCCGCCCGCTCATTTGGTGGCCAGAATTCCTTGCATGCAGATTCAGATTGTCTCGGCCAATGACGCAGGCTCAACAACGACCACCACCACATTGGCGTTTGGGCTAGCAACTGTGGCTCCGCTGGCAACTGTGGCTCCAATGGCAACTGTGGCACCATTGGCAACCGTGGCTCCGCTGGCAACAGTGGCGCCACTCGCGACCGTGGCGCCACTGGCAACTGTGGCGCCGCTAGCAACTGTGGCGCCGCTGGCAACTGTGGCGCCAATGGCGACTGTAGCCCCACTGGCAACTGTGGCGCCGCTGGCAGCTGTGGAGCCGCTGGCAACTGTGGCGCCACTTGCGACCGTGGCGCCACTGGCAACTGTGGCGCCGCTGGCAGCTGTGGAGCCGCTGGCAACTGTGGCGCCTCTGGCGACCGTAGCCCCACTGGCAACTCTGCCGCCGCTGGCAGCTTTGGAGCCGCTAGCAACTGTGGCTCCACTGGCAACTATGGAGCCGCTGGCGACTCTAGCACCGCTAGCAACTGTGGCGCCGCTGGCAACTGTGGCGCCATTGACACCACTGCGACTCTTTGACGATGAGTGCGGGGGCCCAGAAAGGATCCAATTGGTTTTATCGCGCTTATTGGCGATTGCCGTCAGCTATTGTTGATGTTTGGCTTACCTGTTGAGATAGATGTATCAAAGTCCATTTTTGTTGTTGGGTGCCTTTTTGATGTGTCTCGAGCTTCTTCTTTTTAATCAAATGCCCAACACGTTTGTTCACTCTTTTCTGGCCAGATCATGAACTCAGCAGGGCAGTTGGTGTGCTCAGCAAGACCAACCCAAGTTGGTGAAGGTCTATGACTCCGATTGAACCAGCATCTTCCAAGGTTTGTCAAGTGACACCCTATGCGCTGATTCGACAGCCCTTGCAAGGCGCCGGAGAATCGGATAGTGATGTCTATGAATAGGGAATCCCTCATGAGCGTGCGCGTAAACCCCCACCCAAATGATGTCCAAAGGGTCCCCAATCAAACTTCATATATGTGCGATTTCAAATGGAAAACGGAATGGACCAGTGAATAGGTTGTCCTTTTCTGGAGGGGCCGAGCGCCTGGCGAGTTGGTCTCGGTTTGCACCCTGAGAATTCTGACGAGCTGACCGCCGATTGCACAAAGGAACGCGCAACCCAGAAGAAAGGCTGAAAGGTGAGCCCACGTTTCACAGCCAATCTGGATAACAGCTCAATCTATTTGGCTGTGGGTCAAACCAATGGTGCCATTTTGGGGTAGATGATATCACCACCCATTTTAGTCTATTTAGTGGTTGGATTGGGATGTTCACTAGAATGTTCACGAGTACGATTTGGCTTTTGAAAAGCCCATGGCCATTTGATTTCACGAGGTTTCGAAAGGCAAAGCCGTCTGGAGGTGGTTGGCCAAGAGCGACTCCATCCAGGCTAACAGAGGCAAATCGGCCAATGAGCTATGTAACATTTGGTAACTTGAAACGTTTGGCAAATTCAGGCTTCTGGTCATGCAGGAAATTTCAAGGTGGGTCTTTTTGGAGGCGTGGAGGTGATGTAACACTTTCAGAAGAGACATTACATATATATATATATATATATATGCTATCCCCCCCCCCAAAGATCGACCATTTTCTGTGTTTTGAGAAAGATGCGGCGCATTATTGCAAGAAACAGATGTGCATATGCTGGGGTCGACATTCAAGTGCAGTGTTGTTGAGGACGGTTGCAAAATTGCGCACCTGCCAGGGCTGCAACACTGCAAGGCTTTGCAAAACTGCAGCCCCTGGCAACCTGAAGTTTCAAAACTTCAAGAGTTTCCAAGACACTGCCCAAGCAAAGCTGCCGAACTACAGACCTGGCAAAGCAAGTCTGCTAAACTGCAGGCACTGCAGGCCTTGGTTGCAAAACAGACTTGGCAGGGCTTCAGCTCCAACACTGCAAGGCTTTGCAAAACTGCAACCAAGCAAAGGTGCCAAACTACAGACCTGGCAAGGTTGCAAAATTGCCAACCTGCAAGGTTCCAACACTGCAGCTCCAATACTGCAAGACTTTCCAAGCAAGTCTGCTAAACTGCAGGGCCCTGGCAAGGTTGCAAAATTGCCAACCTGCAAGGGCTCCAACACTGCAGGGTTGCAAAACTACAGCCCTTGCCAACCTTGCCAACCTGCCAAAGTTTCAACACTGCAGGCTTCCCACTTGCTGCAAGGTCTGCCAAACTACAAATAAGGCTGCAAAATCCAAACTGCAAGGCTCCAACACTGCAGGCGCACCCAACTGCAAGGCTTTTCAAGCCTGCCAAGCAGTCTGCTAAACTGCAGAGCAAGGTTGCAAACTACAACCCCTTGCTAACTCAACACTGCAAGACTTCCCAAGCAAGGCTGCCAAACTACAGACCTGGAGGTAGCAAAATTGCCAATCCAATCTGCAACCAACTGCACCAACACTGAACTACAGACAAGCGAGTTCAAACAGAAGTTCCAACACAGGCCTGTTTGCAAAACAAACTTGGGAGCTCTGTCTGCCAAAGCTCCCACACTGCAAGGAAGGCTTGAAACTTGGTTGCTGGCCCAGCGCAACATTCCACAATCTCCAGTAAGGCTAATCTGCAGGGCAAGGCTGCAAAAAGCTGCAACCTGCCAACCTGCCAAGTTTCAATACCCTGGCACGGGTTCTTGCCACCTGCTACAAGACTTCCACCACCACACTGGCACTTCGAGCACACTGCCCAAGCAAGCTGCCAAACTGGGTTCCAGCTCAAAACTGCAACCCACTTGGCAAGAGTTGAACACTAAGGCCACTGCAAGACTTGAGCGCCTCACCTGCCAAAGTTTCAACACTGCAGGCTTCCCTGCTGCCCTGGCAAGGCTGCCAAACTACAGGCAAGCAAGGCATTTCCAACAAGAGTTCCAACACTGCAGGCCTTGGTTGCAATACAGACTTGGCAGGGCTGCAAAACTGCAGCTCTGTACGCCAAAGCTCCAACACTGCAAGGAAGATGCTCAGGGGCGAAGGGCAAGAAACCCATGAAGCTGCAAAAACCTCAAAGAAATCAAAAAAAATCAAGAAAATCAAAAAAGTCAGGGTCCTGGGAGAGAATGCCCAGGTCAGAATCTGGAAAAGTGAAAAACCTCGAGAAAATCAAAAAAAATCAACAAAAATCAAGGCCTTGAGAGAGATAGTCACTGGGTCTGGGCATTCTGTTCCAGGACCTTGATTTTTTTGTTTTTTTGATTTCTTCGAGGTTTATTCACTTTCCGAGATTCTGACCTGGACAAGTGAAAAACCTCGAGAAAATCAAAAAAATCAAAAAAATCAAGGCCTTGAGAGAGATAGTCACTGGGTCTGGGCATTCTGTTCCAGGACCTTGATTTTTTTGTTTTTTTTTGATTTCTTCGAGGTTTATTCACTTTCCGAGATTCTGACCTGGAAAAGTGAAAAGCCTCGAGAAAATAAAAAAAAATCAAAAAATCAAAAAAAACAAGGCCTTGAGAGAGATAGTCACTGGGTCTGGGCATTCTGTTCCAGGACCTTGATTTTTTTGATTTTTTTGATTTTTTTGATTTCTTCGAGGTTTATTGACTTTCCGAGATTCTGACCTGGGCATTCTCTCCCAGGACCCTGACTTTTTTGATTTTCTTGATTTTTTGATTTCTTCGGGTTTTTTCAACATGTTCATCCTGTGCAGCCAAAAGGCAGATGCAAGATGAAGTTGGGAAGCCAGAAGCCCGAGACCTTGCAGATTCTGGGATGTGTCA